CCGAGAGACCTTATCAATGTCGCGAATGTAAAAAATCTTTCACTCTGAAACATCATCTTGTAACACATACCCGTGTGCATACGCGGGAGCGGCCGTTTGTCTGTCAAGAATGCGGAAGAGCATTTCCTCTAAAACGTCACCTAGTGACGCACAGTAAATTCCACTCGGGGGAAAGACCTTACGTTTGCGAAGAGTGCGGGGAGTCGTTTTCGCAAAAGGATCATCTTACGATGCATTCACGCTTCCATGGCAGCCTACATCCATTTGTTTGCCACGATTGCGGTGCAACTTTTCAAAGGAAGTTTGAGCTAGTTAATCATGGTCGGCTACATGGCAGAGTTCCACATTCGTGTACTGTCTGCGGGAAGGAATTTCTGCAGAAGAGAACACTTTTAGCTCATATGCGTTTACATACAGGCGAGACACCTTTCGCTTGTACCGTTTGTGGAGAAGCATTCCCTCGGAAAGCAGACCTGGTCGCTCATTCTAAGATTCACAATAATAATGCAAATACGGATGAAAAATCTCTCACATGCAGGTGAGACTTCGTATATAACATTGCAGTATAATTTTTTAATTTTATCTTAAGATAATTCTTCTCATCTTACATCGTGATACAACTCTAGCTGCTATTAAAGGTGTGCTATGTGAAATTGTTATAAACTTTTCTAAAGTTTATTTTCAACGATTAAATTATTGAATTATTGAACATAATTGTGATGTAAAATATGATATTAAGACAAATTGAATCAAATTTTTCTTTATTTATGATTTCATGTTAAGAATTTAAGCTATCAGAAAAAGTTTAGTACATGTAAACATGATGTAATATATATTAATATTGCTTATAACTATATAAACATCTTTCAAGATTTTTATATATGTTTGACAAATCATAAAAGATAAATATCTAGTACTTATTAATATATATTAGAATAGGTGAAAAAAAAATTATATAATTCAAATATATATTCACTCTGTGATATTATAAGTACGCTCAGTTTCTAGAGAAAAACAAATGATTCTTAATAAATGATTATTATTTCAGAGAATGTGGGCTGGAGTTCCCGAATCGAGAAGCTCTAAATTTGCACCAAAGGTTACATACTGGCGACCGAACACTTGTAACGGACCTTTGTGGGTTAGCAGCTGCCTTTCAGCAAACTCCAGCACATTTTCTTACCCCAAACACTCCAGGAGCACATCAAGTAATCATCACTATGTACCAATATAATTCTTAAAAATATCTTCAAAAAATGTAATTTGACAAATTTATTTTTTTGTTTTTAACATTAAAGATACCTCAGTATCTCAATTAATAATTGTAACAATCTGTGTTCAAAATGTGAAATATGCAAATATTATAAATAGTGTATTTTTAGATGAACGGGCCGATAGGAACGCCAGGTGTAAGTCATATGCATGGTGCGACACAAACATCGCCGCCAGTGGGTTCAGGACCAAAACCTAAGCCACACATTTGTCCTGATTGCGGCCGTGGTTTCGCACAAAAACACGGCTTGTCACAGCATCAACGACGTCATACAGACGGCAGTTGCCATATAAGATCACACATATGCGATAAATGCGGCAAAGCTTTCTTCCAAAAGAATCATTTGTTATTACATCAACGTCAGCATATGGATCCGCCACCAAGTATACTTAGGCAACAACAAAGACAAGCTGCCCAAGCTGCGGCTCAACAAGCGCAACAGCAACAACAGCAAGTGCAACAGCAAGCGCAACAGCAAGTTCAGCAGCAGCAACAGCAACAACAGCAGCAGCAAGTGCAACAAGTACAGCAGCAGCAGCAGCCACAGCAACAACAGCAAACGTGTACTGTTGATACAAAAACGATTCAACTACAGGCAATACAGCAGCAGGTGCAGCAGGTGCAACAACAAGTGCAGCAGCAGCAGCAGCAGCAGCAACAACAGCAGCAGCAGCAGCAGCAACAAACGCAGCAGCAGCAAGCATGTTCCGTGGACGCTAAAGCAATACAGTTGAATGTCACCATGTGAGACGGTATAAAGATGAGGGACTGGAGAGTCCTTGAAACAATAGCACTCCCAAATGCGCACCCTGCTGCCACCCTCTGCACACACTTCTCTTGTACTAACAATACACGTTAGATATATATTTATTATCTCTAGATTCAAAAATAATAATCAATTTTATTACAAGAATAGGACTATACAAAGGATATACATATATATACACTATATTCTAATTAATATAAGGCTTGTAACAAGAAAATAAAAATACCCATATATTAGTGTTTTACATATACTTTATAAATATACAAATATAAAAATATATAAATATATAAATATATAAATATATACTCTAGATATGTAAAATGAGACTAAAACAAATTAGTTGCCTTAACGAGAAGAAGAATTTTAATGGACATATTAACTATTATGTTTGGTGATTTTTTCATTTACTTTTATTTAGTAGGACGTCACTTTATAAGAAAACACATATTGAATAAATCAAGGTAAAAAAAATAAGTTCGCCGTGTATCGCTGCTTTGTTGTTATCCTTCTCAATTAATGTATTTGTGCGATGGTAATTGAAAGGAAATAATCAATGTATGAACAGTAAGAGAGTAACAGAAAAAGGGGACAATTCTGTAAACAGTTTTGGCAAAGGGAGAGAGGGTGGCAGACATTGCGCATTTATGAAGCATTTTTAAAGCTTAGATCTATACAAGACAGCATTTTAGCCCCGCGCAATTTATATTTTTACGTTAAATAATACGAGCAAATTGTTCGTTAAATTTTAGAAATACGTAAGAATCCCGGTTTTATAAGATCCAAATATCAATAAATAGATGTAAATGTTTTTCGTGAGGAGTTAACGCGATGTGTATGAACGCCATATATGATCTTAACTTTATATATAAAAAATTAAAATGCATATATTAGTTTTACATTAGTAAAATTACAAGATTAATACATGTATTCTATATATGTACTAATCTTTTTATACGTGCACTTTGCATTAGGATCCCAAGAAGCCTTTCCACGTGCTTAATTGTCTTTTTCGATCAAAATATTTTCTCCATGATAATAAAGTGCGCGTCGCGTATAGTTACGTGCGAGATTGCTTAGCGGGCTCTTCTAGTAAAATGCAAATTTAATTTTTATCAGCAAGAGTATATTAACTAATAATATAGCTAGAAAATCGGAAGAAATACAAATAAAGGTTTCCTACATAGTTTTAATACGTATCTCTTTCTTTTTTTTTTTTAAATAACTTAAAGCGCTGCCGTACTGATATCCGTAATATATCCGTATACACAAAATTTAAAGTGCAAATTTATGTGTGCTTTATGTCAGCTTTTCTGTCTCTTTTTGTCAGAAACAAAATTGTAGATGTTAATATTTCTTATTTTTTTTACTTTCAGCTCACATGTTGAAAGTTCAAAACTTTTTTTTAAATCGTCTTCCTTTTTTATTTAAAATTTATCAAATAATATAACGCTCGAGAAAAAGAGAGAGAATATACTGTGGACACATTACATCGGTATGTAAAGTAAGTACATCGCATGAATCATAATACATGAATCATATATACGCTTGATTAATTATACATATACACATAATTTTAAAGTCATATCAAATTGATCAAAATAAAGCTCGTACATATATGTATTTTATTTTTGTTAATATATAAAAACTGATGAAAAAAAGATTCAAATTATACAATTTTTTTATTAATCTAATATTTTTTTAAATACACAAACCGATATATATTTTTTGTCGTTTTATATAAAAAACATACTAAAGTTAGCAAAATAGATATAATGCGTGAAATTTGGTTAATTAATGTTAGAATGTCAAGGAACACTATTATTTATTACGAATTTATTATTTACTGCAATTTTACAAATCGCTAAGCATTCCTATAGTATCCTCGAATTTTAATTCTAATAAAATCCATTTTAAACTAAACAAACAATACATAAAGTTTCGCATATTTTTTTATTTGCGTCTTCAATTTTTTTAAGTCAAAATAAATTAGAATATCTTGTTATTTAAATTTTCTATGAAAAATCGACATTATTTCTCGTAAAAAATATCAGTAAATGCGCGCTTTTCGTCTGGGTAAAAAAGCATTATGATTAGAATAAAGAAACAATTGTATACGCAGTATTTGCTTTGTAAATCTTTTTAAAAGAGTACATTTAAAAGAGGGACATCTCGTTACATATTGCATGATGGAGAATCAATTATGTATGCAATTTCGTAAGAGCGCTTAATATGTTAAATAATTCGATATTTACATATCGATATTTCGCGAACATCAAGTTCATGAATCATCGTCTCACCATCATCGTGAAATTATGCGTAAAATTATAATCGTGCCTATAGCCTATGCGTCATTTGTCTATGCTATAACGTTACCTAATGACAGTCTCGCGTTAAAAAATTCTTTTCACCTGCGTTTGTACTACAAGTAACATAAGAATTAAAAAAATAGTTTTAAGCAAATCGCAATATGAAGTAAATTTATCAATGTAAATTATTGGTATAAGATCAAATTTTCAATTTCTCACAGTAATAAAATAAAATTCGCTTTGATGCTGGGATACGTTCGAAATAAAAAATGCCTTACGTTCTAAAATAACGATCGGAAATAAGACGTAATAAATAAAACAAGTCTCACATAATTTTCTAAACCTGAATAATTAAGATTCAGACATTTCTTTGAAAAAAAAAGGATAAGTAATAGTCTGTATATAGATATTTTCTCATAACATTTTCGTGATATAAATATTGATTTAAATATGTGCATATGCATACAAGTGACAAAATCGTGATCAAGTATAGAAAAAGAAATTGATCGGAGTTTTTAATAAACGGAGAAAAAAAAAAGAAGCAGCGTACAACGCTGGGACACTCTAGAACAGGCCGTATTGTATTCGCCGATTTGCGACACGAAGCGCAATCAAGCGACATTTCGAATGAGACCCGTCGCGCGGCCTAGCGGTGATGTCCGTAATCGGTAAGCGGGTTTGGGCGCATGCGCGCGGGTCATCGTATGCGCGATTTCGCCTGCGGACAGCGGACGAACCGAAATAAATCGAACGACGCCGAGTCGATCAGCGGTACGGCGTAAACTGGCGTAAACGATAAACGGCGTTCGCAGGACGTGCGCGTTTCGCGTTAGTGATGATCAAAACGGACCGTCGTCCTCGCCGTGATCGCTCGTGGCACAGCACGCAGACGAAACAGCCGTGATCCGCGATCCGTGTTACGACTGTTACGACTCGCGAGGCAGAGGGAAGAAGATCGAGAACCCGCGTCGTCGCGCTCCGCCGCAGCGGTCACGGATGCATATGGAGGTACGTGAAAAGCTCACCCCCTCGACGTTTCCTGCTTTACTCCGGTACACGCCTTTTTGTTTACTCGGAGAAACCCACCGCGATTTCGTGACACCCTCGACACGACGCGACGCGACGCGACGTGACGCGACGCTCTGCTCCGCGACGCGACGCGACGCAATACAATACGACGCTACGACGACACAGGGCTATCGCGGGAGCGACGTCGAAGCGCGCTTTATATCGCGATCAGTAAACGAATTTTCTTCGCTACGCGTTCGTTCTCACCAAGTCGTCGTCGTCGTCGTCGTCGTCGTCGTCATCGTCGAGCTTGTCGAGCATTATGCAGCCTAGTTGGCACCATAGTTACGTACTCCATACTTGTCCGTCTCTCTCCACTCGTCTCCAACTACGTATTATTGTTTTTCGAATTTCCATCAGAGATCTCGGCAAGTTTTAGAGAGAGAGAGAGAGAGAGAGAGAGAGAGAGAGAGAGAAAGAGAGAGAGCGAGAATCGTCACGTCTTGAACCCACGACGATGGGTTCCGGGGATACCCCGCGGTTAAAGCATCGGGTTTGTGTACGTTCTCAGCTGATGGGGCCTGTCAGCTGCCTCGTTCGTCGTGTCTCGCTCCGCCTCACCCCCTTGCCTCATTTCGCCTCGCCTCTGCACTTCATCTCGCCTACGCCTCGTTTCATCTCGCTTTCCTTCTGGCCTCACCTCGTCTCTCGCCAGAGCATCACGTCGGATTAACGATCCACGATTCTTCTTCCGCCGTTATCAATGGCTCGCTCCGATTTTCTCAACGTGCAGTCTCACTCTGACATGTATCGCGCGATGCGAACCTACTTTATACATATACGCAAGCGAGAGAGAAATTGCTTCGTTCTTAAGAAACGTCTTATGATATTTCAGGACGAACAGAGCCGAGTAGGCACAGATGTTTACGCGACGTGGTATATAACACTTGGAATTCCTCGACGATGTTTCAACCTTTACTCGGGCCCTCTTCGATCGAGATACAAATGTTTAATCAACGTACGCAAAATGGACTTGTCTAGACATCGATTGTATTCGTCGCGTTTAACTCCTGTTTACTCCTTTTGCTGTTTATTTCTCTTCCGCGCGTAACAGATCGCGTGTTCGCACACTTACAAGCGCATATATACGATAAGCGACGTGAATACGTACTGTCACCAGATAATGCGCATCGGTTTGTTTGTATACATTCACAGCTGATTCAACGCGTCGCGTCGTAAAAAATATCGTACAAACATCGGGACGATTATCTTGGCCATACACACGCGCTCTCTCTCTCTCTTTCTGTGTATGTGTCTTATTGTTGACATGTTTTATTCGCGCGGATACTTGAATTTTGTCACACTATATATGTCACAACTATTTTCATTAGAATTTTTTACAATTATTTCGTCTCCAAACTTATACTTAACTCTTAAATTCGTATATAGATTCATTTCTACAATGTAATGAAAAAACAATCTATTACTCATAATGGCTGCGGAAATAGGAAAACAAAGATGCGCGATAAACGAAATTAAATCTGACTCAATTAAATGTACAACATCTACTTAATCATTATGTTTTGAAAAAACAATCTATTACTCATAATGGCTGCGGAAATAGGAAAACAAAGATGCGCGATAAACGATGAAATTAAATCTGAATCAATTAAATGTACAACATATACTTAATCATTATGTTCGATTCTCTTTATTTAAGTTACGTCGTGAAAGTCTTGTATTTTTTTCTAGAGTAGACGCACGCGAGTGAGGTTCCATCTCACAGACGTACCACATTGACAATCGCCAATCACAACGATCAATTATTTCTCTGGAACGTAACTAAAAAGCCTTTTCATTGTATCAGTACGATCGATCTCGCGTACAATCGTTCGATCGCTCGCGAGGAACGGCAGGAGGGAGGAGAGTCCGCGAGAGAATTGCAGCGCGAGATGTCCTTGCGTGTGCGGGCGTCTCGGATGCGACATTTATACACGCGACTCGATCGAACGTGGCGTTGTGGCGCTTGAACCTGTTGGACAACGGTTTTGTGTACATTTACAGCTGACTGCAGACTATCAGCTGACTGCGCGCGACGGAATCGCCGTCACTTCGTGCCGCGCGCGCGCCTGCTCCGCTACCATCCTCTGTTCTTCATCTCCCTGTTGCACACGTATTCCTTTATTCGTTTCTGTTAAAAATTCGATCAATTCTTCTCTCTTCGAACTAATCTCGAAGAATATTTACGGCATCTGCGCATTTGCATCGACCCAGATTGAATTTACTGCAATCTACCTTCTTTCACGTCGCGGGGAACGCCACGCCTTTTTCTTCCCACTTTATTCCCTCTTTTTCTCGTGTTCGTCAACAATTTTCCTTGTTGTCATAGTAATTCTGTATTTCTCCAAATTACTTGATTACGAGCTCGTTACAGTTCTTTGTTCATCATTTGTTCGAGCATTATCGTATATATTCTAGGAATCCTTACGAAATTAAATTGCCGGTTCATTTCAACACTTGCATCATTCTTTAGATATATATCTTTCGATCGAATCCGATCTGATTTAGATCGAAAACGATAATTTGGTCGAAGCTCTTTAGAATTTCCCGTGTAGACTCTCGACCATCTTCTTATCCTTGCGCCGTAATCAGTGCGTTACGATCGCGAGGGCAATGGCTCTCGTCGTCCATTCGATCCTCGTTTGTAATGTAGCTAATGCGGGGTGAAGGGGTTACGACTCGGGTAAATTCTCTTGTATAGAAGGCGGTTTATAAATAACTTAGGGGGCTTTGCCCCCTACTTCGGTCCTCGGTCGTCAACCCCTCGCTCACTTCTCTTCGATCCGTCTGAGGCCATAGGAATCGTCTTTTCTCAAAAGCATCGATCCCTACCGCCGATTTTCATGTTTAATAAGAACAATTGTTTTTGTTGTTCATACTATTACATGGATCGTCCAATAAAATTTGATACGATTCAGTACATCCGACAAGGAGTTGACTGTGAAAAAGTGAATTGCGAATATGGAGCAAAATGAAAATTTCTTTAACGAGTTTTTAATTTTTAATCGAAATCGAACGAGGCTTAGTCTCGTTGCAAGCTGTCGAGACAATCGTCGTCGCGCATATTTGCGCGATAAGAATAAAAAAGACGCCGTTGCGACTACAATAAGTAACAATGACCTTGACTAGTATATTGACTCGAAAGTCCCGTCTCCCTTTGTTCTCGAACATCCGTTAGGAAACCCGTTCCCAAACGTTTTCGTTCTCTTCTCTCTTCGTTGAGTCAGTCGCCGGTAAGGATAGGATCGAATTTAATATGTACTCGTGTGAAAATCCGAGCAAATTCCGATACTTGACTCCGACACTTCCGTTCAATGGAGTTGGATTACCGCTTACAAAGACTAACTACCTCATTCACTTGTAATTTGAACGAGCCAGTTTCGAACATGAAGAAAAGGAACAAATAAGTCTCATCGCGTAAGGAATCATCGCGAAATAAATTTTGATTCAGTTAGTAGGCATCTCGTGAGAAGATGATTGTGATTAGCATTCACTAAGTGTCTGGCATCCGTTCTTCAAAAAAGGATAAGCGGAGTACGAGTCTATCCGTCCGTCATACAGAAAAAGCCTCTATCTTTAACGATTCATAATAACGTCCTTGTCTCTTTGTTTGAACGCGCGCCAGCACATGGCGGTACACATCAGTCGATACGCAGCAGTACATCGATGCAATTGCCTTTGTTTTGAAAGCATACGTTGCTTTTCTCTCACACGTCATTTCCACAACTGTCATCGTGCTCCTTGTCGCTAATCATTTTTTGCAAAAGAAACAGATAAAACGAAAATTGAATTATACATACTTGTCGATAATACTTATTGATTTAAAATAAATTTTGCAAACACAAAATGTTTTGTATGTATAAAACGACCGTGATACACATTAATCCGCGCTATATTAATTTTTGGTGTTTTAATTATTTCAATTTAGGTATCATCGTTAATGCAATTTAGAGACGAGCACTAACAAATTCATCGCGCAATTCACGAGGTGCGATCGATATGCTGTCGGCACGAAACGTGTATTGCAGCGTGCTATAACAGTGCTTCCCGAACCAATGTCAAATCGTTACTGTAAATACCTACTCACCTTACGATATGAATAACATTAGACTTATATTCATGATACTCGCATTTGACATATAATTAAATATAATTAAATATACGTTACAAATTTCTTTATGATACGTATAAAAGTGATTTTCTTTCTCGTTTACGCGCGGTTAACTGGCCCGTGTACGCGCGAAAGAAAAATAAAATAATTATCTCGCGCGTGATCCCGTTGCAGCGAGAATCGATACGAAATGAAAATCGACGTTGCGTAGCATTTTTTTTAACCTTTAGCGTAATCTTCTTGCTTTACAGGTGTCCCCGAACCGGCGCTGTCTGAACCAGCTCAACAGCTGATCGGAGCACGAAGCGGCGGTGAACGGGGCTACTATCGCACCACCACCCCGCGTTTCGGAGAAATTCACTCTCGTGTCGTCTAGGTAAAAAATAAAAACAAGTCTCGTAAATCTCTTGGCGAAGAAAGAGATCTATATTCTTCACCTGACACGAGGAGAATAGCAGCAAGGGCGAAGTGTGTTTTCGCTCGCTTGGACACGCCATCATGGTGAAAACTTTTCAAGCGTATCTACCTTCCTGTCACCGCACTTACTCGTGCATTCACTGCCGTGCTCATCTCGCCAATCACGACGAACTCATCTCTAAGGTAAGCTATACCTCGATCGAATTTCTATGACTAAATCTTTTTTTTTTTTTTGTGTTCTTTTTTGACCGAAGATTCCTAATCATCGCAAATACGATGGATCATATGAACATCGAAGAAACTTTTCTATGGATTTAGTTAATCTGTATTAACGAACATATTTCGAAGTTTGATACAAGACAAGATCTTATGACTTTTTATCTTTATAACGTTATAATCTAATGTATCTACAGTAAGTAATCAAATAGTTGTTATGGGACTATTTTAAAAGATTTCTTTTAATTAGTTTTTCCGTTTTAATTTACCTATTATAGGTATTCGAGTGGTATGCGAAACGATTGTAAAATTGAAATATTCTAACGTGACTATTACTATCGGTTATATTTTGATAAATAGTGATGGGCTAATTTCAAAAGAATCTATTATAGCACAGACATACAAAACTGCAGCCAAAATTTTACGCTCCGAACGGAAACGTAAACAGTTCCAGAATAACTAATAATAGAAACATAACTCGAAAGTCTCTTTTTATAGTACGTTGATGATATAAATTTTGTCTGTTTTGCATTTTCAGTCCTTCCAGGGCAGTCAAGGTCGTGCCTATCTCTTTAATTCTGTGTAAGTATAATTAATGTGATGAAAATAGAACTACTTTGAGATCTTTGGCATTGGCTATCTCTTTATAACACATATGCATATAGGATGTCCTAGAACTCTATTTTTATTTTTTTGATTTTAATTAATATAATTTTTTTATTAAGTCAGAACTTATCATTTTACTCATTTTTCCTTAAAATTTGATTCGATGCTTTTTTGTTTTCTATATTTAACATCTTTGTATATGTATGTTTTATTTTAATAATTATCACAGTAGAGGAAAACACTACTATAAAGATAAATGAAAAATAAGATTTTATGTTCCATTCTACCTTACAAATTTAATTTTTTTAATTATTTAATTTGAAAATTAAATCAATAATTTCTCGTTGTTTTACAGTTCCGTAATAAACATAAACGAAATTGAAATAAATATTCTTCTTTACTTTCTAATGTTTTAGTAATGATTCTAATTTGGGGATATTCTTTGTGTGTTTTGTGTGTCGACATCGATTGATACGTATATATATAATGCAGAATATATACGACAGAAATGGAAAAATGATAATTACGTTACGTAGGGTGAACGTAGGTTGCGGCCCCGCGGAGGAGCGAGTTCTGTTAACTGGGTTGCACGCTGTCGCTGATATCTATTGCGAGTGCTGCAAAACCACCTTAGGATGGAAATATGTTAGTTATCCGTTATCTTAAATTAGTCGTAAATAAAGAAAAAGTTTATAATGTTCACGATGTTAATAATTGTCTACTGATATTTTTTAGGAGCATGCGTTTGAGTCAAGTCAGAAATATAAGGAAGGAAAATTTATAATCGAACTTGCCCATATGATCAAGGAGAATGGATGGGAATGAAAAGCAGAGGGAAATAGAAGAAGTTCCCTGTGCCTCTCATCAAACTTTTCCTGATGACGCCTACAACGTTGTTCTAATTGCAATGTACGGCCCCTCTCTATTCGAACCACCAACGAAAGTCTGTGATTTCATTTGTGATTTATAATCTTAGTAATCTTCGTTTCGGACAATTCAAATACAACATCGGTTTGCTTCTGATCAAATCGAGCAAGCAAAGGTATCGCGGCGATCTGTATTCGTCGGTGGACACATCACCAAGTATTGTAAAGAAATTATTTTTCAATGGAAGAAAAAAGTAGAGTAAGATGACAATGTCAAGTAATGGTGGAACATGACGATGAAGGTGCCATGGTGGAAATAGAAAAGCGAGATTGCTCGGTACGAGCAGTGGGGTGCCCCCCCTCCCTAATTTTGATTCATTATCTTTGTAGACATTGCGTGCAGTCGTGTGTCGACACTGAATGTGTTAAAAATTAAACGTGCGGGGCACCCCGACAATCAGTTTTATCTGTTTTACGCACCGGAACAGCGGAAGTGCCACAGACTTTGCTGGACTGATTGCCTGCCTGCCGCGTCTGTCATTGGAATTTCACTGCCGATATTCCTAATACTAATTAAGAATGCTACGCCGTATTTAGACGGCGTAGTGGTAGTCCTAGTTTAGCATACATTATAGAATACTAAAGCCTATATTACATAATTATAGGACTTCATGGATGTAGAAAATAGGAATGAATAAGAATAATGGAGGCAAGAAGAGAGGAATAGGGGGGGGGGGGGTGAGAGAGAAGGAGGATATAAAAGAAAAAGTCTGGTTAAATGTCACGTGTACATGTTTGGTTTTATGTTCATCATGCCTGCCAAACTGTCTGTTTATCTGCCAGTTGCCACTGTTATTACAGTAGGATCGTATTGTAATACGTTTACGTTTTCATTGGCTGAATAGAATGTGGCGTGATTGAAGTTTTTGTTGTAAAGTCTTGAAACTGCGCCTTCCTTATGTGTGTGCGTGTGTATGTGTGTGTGTGAGCGCGCGTGCAATATATCTAAAATATAAAAAAGGGTGACTGTGCTCGTTTTCTTGAATATCTCAATATCGTTCATAAATATATTTTATAAGATCCAACTGTATTTACAGATTGTTAGTAATGACAGTCGCGATCCTATAAAAAGATAATTTCACTGAGGATTGAACTTTATCACCAAACTTTCGATTACACAAATTTGCAATCGAATATCTATAATAAAGTTGTCGCTTCTTCTACTACGTTGATACGTTTTTGTGCAATGTAGTCTTTGCGTGAGAAATTTTTCCTCGAAATATCAATTATAGAGGCTGTTTATATACGAATGTATCATTTGTGCTATATTCCTTGACAAGCTCTTCCGTTGCTATCTTCTTGTTACGATTATTAAAACGATGGTTAAATAAAGTTCATAGACGAGTGCGCTTATTAGAAAATCAGATAAATACAAGTTGTGTCTATGCATGATGCTTAACGATTGAACCGATGATTAAACAAATTGTATAAATTGTTGTTTAATAATATTGATCGTTAATTGTTTAATTAACAGGAAGGTAGCTCTATTGTGTTTACTGCATCAAGCGATAATCTGTTTATATTGTATAAAGTATTTTGAATGATATCAGTGACCTTTGTTAGCACTGTTTTCCACTAGAAAATTATATGTAGATAAATCATACGTTTAGCTTTCAAGTGCATACATATGAAAGTGCAGTGTATTTGTGCAGCGTATGTAGAAAAATGTTTGCCTATCTATCTGTTCGACAGATTGACCGACTGATCGCCCGAATGAATAAATGAATGAATGAACGAATAAATGAATGATTGTGTCGGCCTAATATTCACGCTGTCACTCAAAGAGTACTTTTTATATTAATGTGCCGATATCCTTATCCGCACTCACCTTTTCGGAACCTTGTTAAAATGTATCTATCAACACTAACTCTGTAGTATTCAGCCTCCACAACTTCCACTATCACAAGATTTTGCTTTGTAAAACGTGTTCTTAATTTTTATATAGATGTATAAATTAAAAATATATATATAAATTTTCTTATTACATAAAATATCTCTCGATGAAAATAAAAAGATAGTCAGCCAGCCTATAAATCAGCCAACCTGAGTGCGGATATAGATGCGCAGTTTTTTGAAAAAAAAGATTACAAAGGAAACTTGAGAGGTAAGTCAGCACATTAATATTTCAGTCCACTTTTAGTTTTCGACATAATTTCCTAATTTTTTTATTTTTAGCCTATATTGTTTACAAATAATTTATCATTGATATCTTTAGCGTTCGATTTCAAATGATACCGCCTCGTTTCGCGCATGCGCTTTTCATTTTCAAAGTTGCCAACGCACGACGAGTGCGCTACTATCGTTTCCACTAACACATGTGTGTAGGTGCAATTGTGTATGTCATGTATGTCTGGATGACAATGGATTCCGCCACGGTCATCTGATCGTTTCCTGTTAGCGTTAGGTTCTTATAATTGTTTTTTTTTGTTCACTTTTTTGTTTACTGTGAGCAAATTTTTATTCGTCGTTATTACCTGTTTGTTAAACACAAAAGTTAAGCTAAGCACACTGCCTATTATTTTAGAATTAATGATGAAAAACGCAAAGGCCAAAAATTCAAGGTAATCGAAGTCGTGAAATTTTTAATGACAAATATATAACATTTTGTATACCTAATGACATTCGCTGATTACGCGACAGGAGTTTACTTTAATAAATTATCGAGATAAAGCGTTGTACAATTTACATTTCTTTTCAAATTACAGATTGAATTATTGTATCACATTTAATTTATAAGACAAACTTTTGCAGAACGTGCTCAGGACGTTTCATCGATAACGGTGGATTGTTCGATGTTGTCGTTCGACCGATGCTACAACAAGGACACGAGGGAGAATTATGCAGTTGGCTGAAAGAAATGAGTTTGATTTGCACAGTTTCCAACTGTCCTCATGCTGATTGTAAAGGACGAAGTTTAATATGGAGTCCTGCGAGAATCGTAGACAAATATATTTGGTCTTGTCCCAACTGTATGAGAAAACAGTCCATAAGGGACAAGTCTTTCTTTTTTGGAATAAAATGTGACCTGAAAATGTGCCTTCAACTGATACTAGGATGGTGTCAAAAAATTCCTTGTGACATTACTGCTTCTTATTTAGGTTCTTATACATATTTATATAAATGTTTCATAATAATCAGGATGTTGTATGACATTAAATGCATGTACATGTTATTGCAGATGTAAAGAAACATGTTGTTAAAAAGATATATGAGCGATGTGACGAAGTTTCTGCAATCTATGTTAAAAAACATCCAGAGGATTGGTTATTAGGCGGTGAGGGTGCAATATTAATTGTGGATGAATTTCCTGGTGGTTATATGATGGAACATCAGCCAGATATAAATTCTGCCAAGAAACGTAATAATAATTCACACACAATAATATGTGTCGCAGAAGCAAATGCCATACCACCTCGCATATGGTTACATATGATTGAGGCTATACCAGAGGTAATATTTTAATGGAAATTATTTTAATTATAAAAAAAATATATCAATATTATTCTATTTGAACTAATTACCATTGTCTTGTTACTTTAAATTATTTAAATTGTATAATTTTTGTAGCCACAAAAAATGGACAAACTACAAACAGGAGTCGATAAGAGTAACATGGTAAAAGAAGCTTTAAAGGAGATTACAAGGCACGCAATACCAGGAAATTATATAGTAGCAAATGATCGTGCTCGTTGCTGCAATTATGAATCTTTACGGAGTCTGAGGCAATACAAAATTGTCAGTGTCGAACAACTACAGAAGTTCGATCCACCTGGTAAAAGTAAACTCCTCAACAATCTCGGTAATTACTTTCTTTAATGACATAATATTTTTGTATGTCTATCTCTATGTATATAAATAGTTTTCGTGTAATTATTTTCTTTCTGTATTTTAAGAAACGATTTGGCAAAGTGCTATTGAAATATGTGAAGAAGTTCAAGAAGCTACTCATACTTCGGGCCAACATATCATTGGTAGGCATTTGTGGAGACAAAAATTTGGTGCATCACCTTCTACCGCGTTTCAAGATATGTTGAATCATATTGCGGAATATTATCGATTTTCCTAAGGTTAGGCACAAATATCAAAATCTCTTTAGTGTGTTATCGCCTTATTGCGTTACTTATTGTTGTCATATATGACAAAGTATTTTTCAAAATAATATTATATTTCTTTATTTCTTTATGACTTTACATTTACAAAATGGATATCGAAAACCAGTTTAAATATTTCAGATTATATACAAGTTTTACAAGTTGCCTTATTAGATTAAATATAAATATAAAGTGTGTGTGTGGATATACATGTATTCCACAAAACTCATTTTTATTTGTAGATAGTAATGAATTATAAATGATTATATCATTAAGTCTTCCAAGTATTATAAGATATTACTCACTATGTAAAATTAAACTCTGATAATGATTGTTGATATATTAGAATTATATAATGAAGAAAGAGTTTGAATATGCTAAGAAAGTGAGGTACAATTGTGAAAAGTTAAATCCCAAAACATTTTATCTTTAATAATGCTAATATTGGCAGAAACTATATGTGTTAAAAGACTGACATTGACTCTACTAATATAATAATAAAAAGTGTAAAAAATTAAAGTAATTTTGAATCCAATAGAGCAATATTAGTGTAAATATGAAATTGTAATAATACGTATAGTAGCCACAGGATACTAAGTATTATTTTAGATGAACCTTTTGTTTTTCTTAATATCTTCAAAAATATTCAAAGACGCACAAAATTAAATTTATAATATAACTTTATATATCTATATTTTTTACAGTACATTTCTCTTTTAAAATTACATGTTAAAAAATTAAGTATTCTCTCTATCTTAAAGTTTCTTCTTAGCCTTCACACTTATGTAATTAATATAGAATGAAAAATCAAGATAGAAGATATTATATTATAATTTCGTATTATTTTATAAGATTACTCAAATGTGAATAGCAAGAAAGTAGTGTAAGTGGAGACAATTGCAGAAAGAAAAATTTAGAATAGAGGAGTTTGTGTATTATTTTCATACATATGTTTGTTATATAACATTCTTTATTGTTGTTATATAACATAGCTTTATTGTTGGACATAATTTTATATCTATAAAAAATCGAGCAAATTTTGCAAGATTTATACTGTATAATCTGTTTACAATTTATCATATAAAATTATAAATAAAATTAAAAAGAATAAAAGTTTCATGCATTTCTTCATGTATTATTTATTTTTCCCCGAAAAATTTAAAAATATAGCTTATATATTGTTTAAAAATTAAACATGTTTCATACTTAAATTTTTACTAATTAAATTTATAATTAATAAATAATAAATAATAAAAATTAAATAATAAGTATAATAATTAAATAAGTTAAATAATTTATTTTTATCTTTTGAGAAAAATGTATGTAAATAAAAAGATATTTTGTTATAATAGATAATAATGTAAACTAAAATTAATGAAATTTATATACGTATTTTACTATATACTATTTATAATATTTATTAAAGTATATACTACAGCAAAATGATAAAAATTAAATTTGTAAAATTGTGGATTTACTTTTCAATTTGAAATACATGTAAAATAAAACTAAAAAAAAATAGATTCATGAGGGGGCACCCGGGTTTGAACCGGGGACCTCTCGATCTGCAGTCGAATGCTCTACCACTGAGCTATACCCCCAATTGCCTACTGATCTTAGATACATACTTTTCAGAGTACAGTTTCTTATATTTATCAAATATATAATTGGAAACAAAAATTTCAATTATATACATATTACATTCGAAATAACAATTTTACCCTCGCAACAGTCATTATTTATTAGATGGATCTCTTTACTTGGAAAAAATTTTTTCAATTTTTATTTAAATAGCTATTTTTAATAATTAATTTTAATTTTATTTAAAACACGGAACTTGTAAAAAAATATAGCTTTTAACATAATAATTGTAATTTTTATTAATTAAAATATCATTGGTTTTTTTATGTCAATAATTTTTCAAGCTTTTCAAAAAACACTCTAAACTTGGTATTATTTAATTTTAAATAATAAACGTTTTAAATATTAAAATTTAATAAATAAATCTTTTGTACTTTTGTTTGATAAAATAAATAAGTTTTTGTTGACACATTTCTGAGACGCGGTGGTATCTAAGCAACCCTTACGTGAACTTGCTCGTACTAATGCAGAGCGTTCAGTGCGTTTCCCACCCTCTAAAGGTACGTTTCACCGTCGCCATAACGAGTCAACCTCGTGGCCGAAGTAACATTTGACAATCAAACTTTGACTTTTGAAATCTGGCGCCAAAATAATGAGTAAACAACAAAATGTAGTTGCGTAATTGCCGTAATTTATATAACGTACGAGGTAAGTAAGTACATCAAATACATATTGAATATTATACTATCGACTAAATTCTTGCATATTGTTCCAATATATGACATCATATGGATGTCAACACATTTACAGCATTAATATTGCTCAATTTTGCATTATTCTATTTTTCATTTTAATTTATTCATTTAATTTCTCTTCAATGTTTTATTTAATGTGTATTTAAAACGATACAATTTTTTTTTATTAATTATATAAATTTTTGTTAATAACTTTTAATTTTTGCTAGAAATATATAATGTATTAATTTGCAAAAATTTATAGTCGATATATATTTATATACATAAATCGATTATAAATTTTTAATATTGATAAAGTTTTTAAGAATATACTGTTACAGGGAATAAACAATATAGTACAAGATCTCTTTTCAATAAAAATTAAGTTTTTTAATGTTTGAGATACGGTTTTTTATTATGCTCAAGAATGTTATGTAAATTTAGTTACTCTCACTTATCGAGAAAAGTTTAAAAAAAAAGAGAAATTATTTATTAAATAAATTTCATTTGCATACTCTTTCCTACGATTATATTAAAAAATATAAAGCATAAGAATGTGAATAAATATTAATTCATTTGTTAACTTTTATAAGTAAACGCATGCACTGTGTTTTGATCGATCGCCGATCTGGATCTCGGTAAACAATAAACACGTGTGATATGTCGAAGGTGCACGAAAAGGCGGAGATGTTACGATTAAATATTGACGATGCAATATCACGAAAAACGAAGGTCTCGGCGAATTATTAACGGAGCAATAATGGATCGATGTGCGGTATGGTGAATTAACGAAATAACGATTTTCAGTCATTGCCGCGTTACGGCGCGAGTTCGTTGCACGTATCTATGTATCTATGCACGTATGTATAACTGTATAAGTACATCTTTTGCGCGAGGCTATGAACTATACATGTATATGAAATCTTACTTACTCTCACTTGCTGCATCTAATCGACATAGAAGCAATTTTTCTTCGGCAGAAACGTCGAAATATTCATTTCGTTAATTATAATAACTAATGCAATAAGGCGTTTTTGAAAAAGATATATAGTTAACAAAATTTTGTTATTAATTTCAAGCAGGTTTTATTTATATTAATTAATAAGATTTTAATGTGTCGATCCTATTTGCGCAAAGATACTCAGATTTAAGATAAGTCAAAGATATCTGAGAATGTAAGTTTAAAATTTATTTATTTATTTATTTATTTAAAATTGTTTACAAGTCGAGTTTTTGAAAATTGTAATAAACTGTCCCTTTTATTGAACTTGATAAATATTAAAATTAACAAATGTATACATGATTAAGTAAGTTTCTTATACTGGACTGACATCCAATTAATTCGTCATCTGTTTGTAACAAATACTAATGTTAATACAACGTAAATATAAGAACATTGTCTATAAACGGATGTAGAAAAAGAATAATGATAGTTTTATTTCATTAATGCCTTCGGGTCTAAAGGACACTGCATATCGCGACCTTTCAGCTAAATAGTCCCTTGGTATTAATGCGATAATAATAAGGATGCGTTCGGGAAGCTACTATATTAGCGGTATTTCTTTTATCGTTGTTTTACGTATAATGAACGACAAAGATAGAATGACACGAATAGCGTTAATAGCGTCTCCCCGAACGCACCCTCAGTAATTTGCTTCCTGATGGCTCGTACGATCAACGCGAGGTGAAGATTAGAATTTGACACGTGACGACCTTGCCGTGGTATCAGCCATTATGGTTCTTTATAGGTATTCCCGTGTTGTGACCGTTGGTTTCTATGGTAGCGAGTGACCTGGTCAGTTCACCACGTGGTCAGTAACTGAACTTTGATTTAGAATCGAAAATTTGGGTCGTACCTTAATGAATGCTTATTTTAGGATGCGGAGCATCGTTACAGATTTTACGGCAACGTCGTCCTTCACGCGCGCAGATACATAAATCGATAGTTTCTCATTTTTACGACAGCTCCATTTATTATCGCAGCGTATTGCGAAACACTTGAAATTTATACTTATTCATCAACTTGTGTACATACATATACATACATGCGTGTACGTCTACATTTTTATTTTGCATACGTTCATCTTATACGGTCTGTTGGCATCGAAGCCAAACTGATTGAAATTTCAAATACCACCCCGCCCCGTGTACGCCCGCAATGGACGTTTTCGAGCGAATTTCTTTCAAGCACCAATCTACTCGACTACTCGGGTCAAGAGACTAGACTATACGTCCTCCTCAGCGCGATGAGTTCGATCCGTCGAGAGGTCCGAAGATGTTTCCACGCGAGCGGTTGGAGTAGTCGCGAGTAGGTGCCATGAGAGACGGGCATGGACACTAAGACTCCGCCGATTCCGCTCAAGTCGCAGGAGAAGCCTCAACCGAGAAAAGCGGATCGCGTGGCCGACGTGTCCTTGCCCCCGCTGACACCATATCCTAATCATCGTTCGTCCAAACACAGATCGTCCGCATCTGGTACATCGTGGTCGCAAGGTCCTGCACCTTGCGCTGTGCAGCATCTGCAGGATCATCGCAAGAAGAGACCTTATAGGTAGAGAGAGACGCGTTCGATTTCTTCCAAACTACTTAAAATTTGCCCTTCTATTTTTGTCCACAAGTCAATCTGTTTGACGGACGGAATTCAACACGATATTTCATCAAATGATTGACGTTATAATCGAATAATACGTTCTTACAATTAGTAATGCTTACAATCGGAAATAATATTCTATTATATACGAATAAATGAACTTTCTATAATAACGCACTGTTTTTCAGAGTGTTACATATCGGCGCTACACCTTTAATGCACGCCTGTCAACAAGGTGACAGAGCAAGAGTGTTGAGATTATTGAAGGAACAGGAGGAAACGACCGCTTATCGAGATCGTACATTGAGAAACGCCCTCCATTATTGCATGGACGCGGGTACCGGTGGTGCCGTTGCCGCGGCGGCACCAGAACTGGTGAACGCTCCTGATGCCGAGGGGCACACCCCGCTTCATCTCGCGGTCATCGCCGGGGACACTCAGCTGGTCGCGGTTCTTTTAGCGAACGGTGCCGATGTCAACGCTAAGGATCTCGAGGGGCACAGTGTTCTCCATTGGGCCACTGGTACTTTTCGCTCTCTAACGTCTCTAATCTTCTTTTTAACCGCCAGCTGTCTTTTAAACCGCGCAAATTATTTTTCTCTTTCCTTTCAGCTTTTAGCTCTTTGCACGTGTTAACAAAATGTTATCGAGCATATCGTTTATTGTTAATATCTTTATTTTAGGCCGATTTACAGAAATTGTGCGTTTCACCGGTTATTTTCGTGTCCAAATCTATTCTTAGAATGCCTTCTAACTGATCCGTGATTGATCTGAGATTAAGAAACTTGCCGAAGATCAGGAATTAAAGAAATTTTCTGCCTATAGAGACACAGAATCAGTCATCCCCTGCAGAGATTCTCATATATGTATAAATTACGTTGGGTGTCAAGTGCTTTTTATTTGCCAACACGAATCAATATTCAAGTAAACAAACGTCATTTAATTTTTGGTCATCTTCAACAATACATGTTTTTTTTTCTTTTACGAGTGTGAACATATAACCGATATATATCTAACAAATAAAATAACGCTTGTACGCGCGCGCGTTTGGTTTCATATACAATTGAAATCCAAGGACTTCTATTGTATGGTCAGTCGCTGAAATGATCGCGATATGCTTTCTCGCGTGATCGCTAACGGACGTTATTCAAGACGACCTACTAACCTTCCTTGACCATTGCGGCACATCGTTTCCCCGGAGATCGGAAGGAACGATATCACGGCCTGCATTTCAGTCTGTCATCCAACTTTTAAGAAAACTTTAAATGTACGATAGTGGACAGTTTGACCTTCCAAGAAAAGAGGAAGAAAACAAAAATTGTAATAAAAATGAATTAAAATAATAATAATTATTGAAAATAATAACGGAATAGAATAATATTAATTGCAATCATATAGCTTCAGATATTAAAGCTGAAGCGGATTACACAAAGACTTTTTAAATCTGTAAATATACATTAGAACACAAAAGAAACCTGGAAGATCCGGACTCAAGAAAATTTATCTAGTGATACTATATTTGATAAATTTGTCCCAAACCGTAATTACGACCTTCTATATTTTCGTTAATTACATGTATGTAAGAATAAATGATTCACTCTCCCTATGGGGAAAACGTGAAAAAAGAAGAAAACCGAAGATAGAAAAATGATTTATAGTCTGTGGGGAAGCGGAATGCGTTCGGTTGGTTCTCGCGGCCGGCGCGCGACCTTCCACCCCGGATTTACGTGGCGGATCTCCACTTCATTATGCCGCTCAATGTTGCGGTGCGGCTGCCACGGCTGAACTTGCCGTTCCTAAGAAGGTCGGCTTGAAAGTTTTACAAACACTTCTTGAATTCGGCGCGGACGTGAACGCGAAGGACGAAGACGGACGGCAACCAATTTTATGGGCAGCAAGCGCGGGTAGCGTGGAGGCGGTGTTGGCTCTAGCAAGGTAGACTCTTATACACGTCAATCTCTTCGATGTTAAACCGCTTTTATTTTAGACTCCTTAAATGATGTTTAAAAAAATGGCGCTACAAAAGAAATGAGGAACGGTTCGTTATTACAATTATTTTTCATTGATTTAGAGCCGGAGGATCGGCAGCCGCAGGTACTTCGGATAAAGATGGACTGACGGCACTTCACTGTGCAGCCTCGAGGGGCCATGCGAGATGCGTAGAAGTACTCGTCAACTTGTGCGGATCTCATCCGGACTATGTGGATGATAACGGTTGTTCCGCGTTACATTACGCCGCCACTTTAGGCCATGCGGATGCCACCGCTCTTATCCTTAAACTCGGGGCCGATCCCAATCGCCAAGATCGAAAGGGTAGAACGTAAGCTTACCAAGTTTCTGGGCAATCTTAATTTTTAATCGGCCTTTCAGTAAAATAATTGAAATTGATACGATTTCCTCTCAGATAACAATTCCTTTAAATCGATATTCTACCTGCACACTTGGTACATGTTGAATCAATCCTCTATTATATATTAGATTTCAATTATAGTGAAAACTAAAAAACTTTTCTACGTTGAAGAAAATTTGACGTCTTTCAGACCAGCACTTTGTGCCGCAGCTAAGGGCCAGTTAGAAACCTTGAAGATTTTAACTCAGCATGGCGGGTCGCTTCACGCTAAAACTGTGCGTGGCACAGGGATAGGACACGAGGCCGTTGCGTCCGGTAGAATTGAATTGATAAAATGGTTAGCGAAAAAGAGACCGTCAACGTTAGATATCGCTACTCACGACGGCAAGACACCTCTTCATGTCGCGGCTTTGCACGGTCATCTGGACGCGTGCAAAGTTCTCTTGGATCATAGCGCAAGAATCAATGCGGTTCTTAGAACCAGTAAGGGTAATTCGATGACCCCTCTGGACGCAGCTCTTTATAGAGGGCACAGAGACTGTGCGAAACTCATTCAAATGCATGGTGGTACCACGGCGCAGCAACTGAGAACGCATAAGACTGCACCTAACAAAGGTCAGATTAGGTATACGCGTAGAGCACATATAAACATTTGCTAAATCTAACTCGAAAATCCAACTGCGACTGATGTAATAAACATTTTTCAAATAAATAAAAATGTTACAAATATTCATACTTTAAAGATTAGTATCTTCTGATATCCATCGCAATATATTTGAGTATAGTACCTTACTATATTATAACAAAATAAGTCATTGAAATCATTTTAGTTTTTACAGCAAAGGTCCGAATAAAACAGGACGAGAGTAGCACTGCCAGCGATAGTAGTCCTTGTAGACGAGGTCGAGGGCACAAGCATCCCGAGCTCTATTATGAAGAGCGATGGGTAGAAAGAAGAACACGACGAAAAGGTAATCTGAAAAAGGTGACTCGTCGGGATAGTCGGAGTTTTAGTGAGGAAGAAGTGCGTCTGTCGAAGATATCTTCGAAAAAGGATGATAGAAGAGCTCGAAGCGAATCCGCACGGTAAAACGGATATTACCTCATTAATGCAATGCAAAATAATACGAAAGGAAATATAACATTTGAAATGTAATAAATCTTTTTTCTCTATTCACAATTGATACGTAAAAATATATCTATTACTTTTACGAGATACTGGCATTTTATTTTTTATCTACAAATTATTGATGACGATATAATAATAGTTAATAGAATAACTTTTTTTTCTTTAAACAGTCACATAGCGAATTTTTAATACGTTCTAAAAGAAATTTAAGTGGTTGAATATAAATAATAGAGATGGAAATTAGTTGTGTCATTTTCTAAATGCCTCTTGTATTGCACTAACAAAAGTATTGATTGCATAGGGTTAAATTTTAAAATTATGTATAAATCAGTAGATATGACGATAATACCATCAATGATCACAATTTGCAAAAAAAACGAGGTAGAAGAATGTCGACGAGACATAAAGAGGAATATTTGAATTCATCGTTCGAATCAGATAGTTGCGATTATTCTCACGATGACATTGAAAATGGAGCAGCCAAACATCGGCAACACGCAAAAAAACAGCACAAGAAGGACAAAAACTTTAAAACGGAAACAAAAAGTAACTTGAGAAAAGAATTAGATGATGATGATCAAAGCGTAAGCGATGACAGCTTAGAGGTGATCGTAGTGAAAAGATCATTGGAAAAAAAGTGTGAAAAAGTAGTATCTGGAAGAAGATCGAAGACACCTAGAGAATGCACAAAGGAGACAAAACTGACCAAAACGCACAAACGTAGCTCTAAAAAAATGTCTAAATCCAGCAAGTCAAAAATATTCGATAAAGATAAGACTACGGTAGGTCGAGATGAATCGCCGGACAAGGAAGAAAAAAGTGTTGTAGTAGAAGAGCCGAAGCATTCTTCGGTTGAAGAGGAAGAAAGTGGCAGCGAGAGGATAACAGAATCTCGATATCGAAGAGACGCGACAGATAGTACTAGTCAGGAAACCGTAAAGCAAGTGATTGTCACAGCGATGGTTCACAAAGATCAGATGCCTGACACTCCAAAGTCAGTGCAGAAAACTACAAAAGAGACGAGTTCTGATGTTTTGAGAAATAGCAAGACAGTGATAGAAGAAACAAAGGAAACTTTCAAAGACAGCAGTTTTTCAGATAAAAGTAAGGTCGCATTGCCGCACAAGATTAATACGCACGATATTTCAGAGGAAAAATTACAGCAAATAACGCAAGAAAGTTTGCAAATTAATAAAGAAGTTCAGGATGAAAAGGATAAAATAACGATTCCTGTCAGCATGGAAGATGCAAATATAATTAATCAGACGCAAAGTAAGAATTTAAACGTAATAATTTTCGTTGCAAGTCCACACAGCACACTTTATCCAAGGAACGTTCTTAGGATGTAGAATGTCCTATAGACGTCCTTTAAAATATTCCTTGGAGGTCTGTGCTGTATAGGAAGTAAACTCAAGTATTATAGTAACAATCTTTCAGTCATTGATCATTGAATTTTTAATATATTAAATGTGTTTGTTAAACACTGACTATAGTAGTCTTCCTTTTAGGTAAGTTAGATACATTCGAGAGTGTAATACCGAGTGATAGCACATCGTACGAAAAGCAAGAAGCAATCGAAGGTGAGACATTTGATAAGTTATCCGATTTAAATATCTTCGAATACGGTTTTACTAAAGATTTATTCGATAAAGAGAAAGATAGTTTTAAAAACGGAAATGAATTAAATATATATAAAAATACTGCAATTTCGAAGGATCAAAGAAATTTTACGGTTGCAGTAAAGCATATCGCGGGTCCGGGTGAGGAAAATGGAAAATTATTAATTTCTGAAGATTCGCAGCAAGATGGAAAAATTGCTACAAAAAAAACTTTATTAGACGATAAAGAATCGAAGACTTTAAAACAATCCGATGCGCATCAAACAGTAAGCAATTTGAAAGAAAATGTCGAAGGTGTACAAGCAATTTATGAGGAAGTCAAAGATGCTGAATCAAAAGAGGACAAAGATAGACGTGACGATATCAAATCTTTGCAAAAAATGCAGACGGATGAAACACAGAAAACGGAAACATTAGCACTTACCGAACGATCGACAGACGACGACAAAGAAAATTTAGATGATTCCGCGCGTGGAAAATCCGCAGATTTATCATCAACAGAATCGAGAGTGTCAACGCTGAACGTGGAAGAAAGTTTTTCTCCAGAAAGGACGGGTTCGCCACGTGACAAAAAGTCGGAACGTATTGAAAGAGACGATGGAGAACGATTAGAAACTAAAGCAGGTAAATTGCCGAAATATATTAAATATTTAAATATTCAAAAAATTATAAAAACATAATAATAACGCAGATATTTCGATTTAAATTTCTAATTAGCATTAAAAATATTGCATAATTGTAACTTATAATTGTCTCATTAAAAACGGTGCTTGTAGCAATACTTTTAATATATATATACATAATAACGGTTTCCAAAATAAACAAAAATCTGTCTAACAAACAAAAATTTCAGGAGATAAAGATTTTCGCTACAATATCGACGATAGTTCTTCGAGTTCTCCAAAGCTCTCGAGATCGGCGAAAACGAGACATTCGCGACCATCTACGGGAAGAAATCTGAGAACAGGAAAGTCTTCTTCAAAGTCATCGACGAAGAGACACCCGTTTGAAAGTTCTGAGGAGCGTTCACTTCATCAAAGTGCGATAATCGCGGTGTTAGACAGCCCAGAATGGGATGAAGACGAAGTCGAGAAAGAAATCAGGGAAGCTCTCGGGGAGGATATGGAACATGAGACAGAGCATGAAGAAGATAATGAAATTGGTGTAATGCGAGTTTTGCCAAGCACTAGTGAGGAAGAGACTCCTAACACAGCTTTGGGTGTATCTAGAACTTCAAGAATCGACTCTTTGCCTCAAGTAACTAAAAAACTTACACCTGTTAATCTTTATTTTAATTCTAAATCCGTTTCATAGCATTATTAAATTTATACTTTTAAACATACATTAATGCTTATTATATAGTATATAAACATTTTGTAAATAAAAAACATCAGTATCTAGATAAAAATTATTATAATTTTGTTTTTAATTTTATTTAGGAATACAATAAATATTTAATTTAATGTCGATCGAACATTATTATTGTTAGGTACAATCAACAACTACCAGCCGCTTAGTTGCGATCGAAAATACTGACGGCAGTCACCGAGAACGAATGTGGAGGAAACATCGTCGCGATAGCGGAGGTAGAGACAGTGGAATAGAACCAAGCCCGAGAATATCGAGAATTCCACGAAGACGAAACATAAGATGTTGTCCAAATACAGCGAAACAGCAAGCTCTCAATATGGAGACTATTACTAGAGATGTGCAAATTAGTCTGCGTCGTTATCATCTCGAAAGAAAAATTTTTTTCCAATTGATGGAACTGAAAAGATTACAAATTCGTCACGGTAGAGCAAACGAACATGTCTTAGTGAAAAGGCAGGTAAGACTCTGTAACCATTATTAATATTGTAATGCGAACATAGATAACGTTCCTTCATAGAAATCATAGAAAAAAGAATTAAACATTTCCTTATAATTATTATCGTTGATATACATATTTGCAGAGCGATCTTTTTCAGGTGGACGCCTTCCACAAATCAGGAATGTCTGGACCCACTCTTGGCGTTGCAAAATATGATCGGCCGTTAACGTTCAGGTTCAATTATTAAATTAAATAATTTTTGCATATAATGTTTATAGTATATTTATTAGTATAATTGATATAACTTAATACTACGAAACTGTAATTGTAGAGAATTCGAAGCGTTTCTGTATGAGCAATTAAGAAGACTGCAGGGAAGACCAACTACTCCAGACTTTTGTACCGAAGCCAAGCAATGCACGCAAAAAACTCATCGTTGTCATCACGCAACCAGCGCTTACACCTCTATTCCAATATATACCTACCGTATGTTAACATATTACCGCATTTGGATACAACACGCGTTACTTTCGGGATATCTTTATTAATCTATAAAATTAAGCTCATATTTGAATATTCGAAGTATTCGATTGAAGATTTAAAGAAAACATTCTTGCATATCTTTTTTTTTGTAAATCATGTTATTGTTTGCTAAAACAATTATTCAATTTTTAAGATTTATAATCGTTTATATATGTACGTAAAGCCCGAAAAGAGTCAGTTTCTGTAACGTGAATGTAGATTATAATTGCAGTGGGTGGAGGCGTCCCAGATCGAGCGGACCATCTTCCGAAAATAGAGAGTCGCGGCAGGGGGCAAATGACGGTAATAATACGAAAAAAAAAATATAAATCTTAACTAACAACTCTGTTATAATAAACAAAAAAATATTATATCTTGTTTAAAATTTAATCTTAATTTGTGATTAAAATAAACGACTTGTTAATCTCTAATGTTACTTTAAATCTTTTTATATGTATATATGTTATTCTTCGTCTTTTAGGTGGAAGTGACACACGGAGAGGAAAAACAAGTGATTGCTCTTCCGACTGAGAAAATGGATCGTACCAAAAGATATTTCGTTACATTTACTGTAAGGGGTGAAACGCAAGAAGTTGAAAAAGCTAAATCATCTTGCATGATACAAAGAAATGCAAAGAGTGTCTAAATATATCAGGCTTTTCTGATAATCAACGAATAGTAATTTTCTCCAATATTTTCTTGGAAAAAACGATTAAATTGATATATAAGAATGTATAATCTGAGTCACATAGATAAAGGGCATTTTCTATTATTTCATGTAAAATTTTTGAAAAAAGATATTGACAGTAAAGAGAATTTTCATGCGTTTAAAGAAATAAAACACTACGTTTAAAGGTAGCGCAACAGACTTAATGTTTCAATTTGTAAAAAATATAGTGTAATAATTGATGTATATTGCTTTATTCTTTCGTAAAGGAGGTTTTCTATTTTAGATGTCGACATTCGAAAAAAAAGTTGAGTACAATATACTTTTTTTTTTAACCGAATATTCTTCGTGAGAATAAATTTGCTTTGCGCACAAAAATATAATATAAGAAATATATAAAAACTGCCAGACGAGACAAAATTTATAGATTAGTGAAAAGTCAAATTATGCATATTGTTAAATTGATTTGTATTATGCGTTATTTATATACATATGTATATTCTACATATATGTATATATATTTTTACATATATATATTCTATATACATGTATAGTTATATATATGAGTAAAAATAATTATAGTTTCGTACCTGAATAACTGCAGGAGTTTGTAAATTTTCTGCAATCGATTGAGGGAGAAAAAGAGAAAAAAAGGAAAGAACTAGGACGTCGTTTTATCCTGAATATGCTGCGCTAAATCCTAAAATTTAATATTATATGAGAAGAATTTGTTGCCATGATATACAAAGTTACAAAAATGACAAATTTATTTAATAAAATAAAATATCCGACTTATATTCTCTGTGTTCCCTAGCTGTGTAAAATAATATTCTGTATAAAAATATGAATAAATCAAAATTAATTATGCTATGACATGTTTTTTGCCTTTTGTATCTACTGATCTGAAAAATTCATATATATTTAATATGAAACTATAAAATTATAAAACTATAAAATTTGGTACTTTTTCAGACACTGTGGATAATGAGTTTCTAGTTATATACATATATATACACATATATATATATTTATATATACTATATACATAAAATAAGAATCAAAAAAATTAGCGAAAGCGAGTGAGGCAACTATTGAAAGCATTAGCTTAAAGGATTATCGATCGGTTGGTTGACGTGGTTTTAGGCAAAAGAACAGTCGTGTATGCAGTGAAAATCCGTTTCTCATTGAGAACCCAGTGCCATCATCCGCTTTGGCAAAAGGCTATGTCAACAATGTCGACACGCCGAAATAAATTCGCGATGGTGTTTGTCGGAATACAACATGAATATTTCATTCGTAGCGTGAAAATCCTGTGAGAAGCCTGCGAATGGACAAATGGCTTCAAGATAGAAAGCTCTGGCTATTCGGTAGCACGCTACCATTGCTACCAAGGAGGTAAACACTGATTGTGATTATTATCAATACAGCGACATCGTTAAACACGCAAAACATACGTTCGAATTAATTACTTTACCTTTTCGAATTTTGTATTTTTCAATAAATAAGTATCTATTATTTTACGAGAGTCTATTCTAATATACCATTTTTCTTAACAACCTTTGTGTAAATATTGAAGCATTCACTCTATTAATTCCACAAGATCTGATTGTCTATTTCTTTTAAAACCTATTAGAAAAGATAGAGATTTTTTTAAAAAGATCTGAGGGGGTTGTAATCTTGTTGTATACATTGTTATACATACATATCCAGTGAGAAATGACAATGGAATCGACATCGAATTGATATCGATTCGACATTAATTCCATTGTCATTATTTCTCACTGGGTATATGCTTTTTGATACGAAGTTTATTATTATGTAACATGAGTCTATTTTATTAATATAGTATTTCCGTAAGAGTTGTGCAATAGCAAAAATCTGTTTTAAGCCCATTCTACAATTGCGTAAGCGTAGTTGTAAGTGGTTGTAGTTGTAAGAATTGACTAATCACAGTCAAATATTTTCCTCATGTTTGATTATGATTGGTTAATTCTTACAACTATAACCACTTACAACTACGCTTACGCAATTGTAGAATGGGCTTTACAGATAAATTGTTTAAAACTTTTATTGTAAAAACAAGTTAACTATTATTTTTTTAAATATTTATTTAATTTTATGTAAAATTCTGTATTATCTGCAGTGGATTATTTACAAGGTACTTTTCACAAAGTTGTTTATTAAATGAAATACACTTATCTATTTATCTTTATGTTCAGTGTGTTGTATTATAGCCTGTGACATTTGTCTTCGACAAATTAATGTTGTATTATTACATACGGTATTATTATCGCCGTTTATAAAATGTTAAAAACGGATATGATGAATTTGTCGAAGAGATATAACCTGACGGTTACGATTAGCAATGACACTTTTATGTTATCGTCTGTCAAGGAAAACGTGTATAGGGCGCATATTATCTAAAAGAATTGTATTTCCATTTTTTTTCACGCCTTTATCACGTAATACTCACTATAGCGTCCGTCCAACAGTTGAAAATATTTTGACCTCTTTCACGGTCAGAATATATAGGCGCACTCAGAGAACGTGATATCGATTCTCAATAATCAAGAGCTCAACAATAACGTAAAGCCGTCGCTTTCTTCAACGTATTAGTACTGTCCGGTATGTTCGCCAACGAGGGTGACCTAACAAGAGTACTTCATGAACTCTATTCTTGGATTTTTGTACGTAATTGTTTCTATGTTCTCTTTTCTTCAATATATTCTTCAATTGTGCTCATCGAATGTCATCGCCAAAAATTGGATTTTTTAATAATCGAATCTTTAGGCTGGAGAGTTGAGAATAATCATGAAAAGTTACATGGATAAGATATTGTATCATTTCACTCGCTCATTAATTTTCGTAATCTATTGTGACATGTACAGAATTTAGATTCAATCACGTATGAATCATTGAGAAATTATAATTTTATTACAAGAATAATAATTAGACAATTTTAAAAAAAAAGTTACGGATATATTAAAGACACGCATACACATACACAATGTCAAATTTTTTTAAGAAAAGATTTTATCAGTATAATATCACGTACATAAAATTATTTTATTTGTAATAAATAAATGGTAATGAGTGATCTTTCTTTTAACTTTTTAATAATTATATAAAATGTCTATATTAAATATTAAAATTTAAGTAAAAACAATTTATAACGTGTACGCAAATGTTCCATAAGATGATTTCGTTAATGTTACATTTTATTTTTTTTAAAGATGCTTTTTTCTTAAAAAAAAAAAATAAATAAATATTACGATATTTTCTATTTTTTCTTGTATTTTTTAAACAATTTTATGTTATTGTTATAATATATGTAAATTTCAAAAATTAAGGCGCACTTTTTTTAAATATGCGAAAGATTAATGTGATTATATAAGAAACTGTTCACGTAACGAATATGTATACTAGTACAAGATTTCTTTAAAAAGTAAAAAAATATAGTAACGTTTAAATTAAAATTCTTTATATTATAACTGCAATCTTGAAAGTACATTCGTGAACTTAGCTATTTAACAAAACGCGTTTTAACAATTTTTCATGTTTGTCTGTAATATACACATAACCTGGTCAAATCTGATTCAAATTCTCTATCCTATTTGTTGATTTACATTCAAATTCGGATGCCGCAATTAACTTTCAAGATTAATACATACGATTTACGTCGAAAATTATTATGTCACATTATATACACGCAAGCACATCGATACGATGAACGACGTGAGGTTTGCAAATTATCGACAATGCATACCACAGTGGTAATAAAAGACTTTTAATTTAGCTAATTCCTCAAATTCGAATCAAATAATCACGAAAAAGAAAAATTCGACGATAAATAACGTACATAATCCTATGGAGTCTGTTTAATCATACTAGTTCGTGAAATGATTTCTACTGGATCGATATCGTACACAATCAGTTGAGTGTTAAATATTAAAAAGCATATTCGATGTCATCGAACAATTCTATTCATTTTTTACGGAAATTCTTAATCTTGAAGCAATCTTGATTTCGATTATACAACGATATATCATTATATAGGACTCCATTCAATTTTTATATCCTTCTGACGAACTGCTTAATTGATAGAATAGCGATTGCAATATCTGTGCATTATGAACACCGAAATGTCGTGATATTGCGCTGCTTTAGAGGTACTTGCTCATTTTAGAAGTATTATTTCGGATCGGTATTGCAATCAATAAAACGGTTAGTTGACCAGCACTTCACCTACGCCTGCGCTAAACGTAAATTCGAATAAAGCAAAACTCGTGGGGTAGCTTGACCCTTGGTCATCCATCGGAAGAGAGACAGTCCAGCCGGTATTTTTTTAAGAGAGCCCCCCCAGCCGGTACCGTACATCGCGATACTATGCTCTTTACACAACAATTGACGTCGTTACCATGTCTTGCTAAATATAAAAAGTGGGTATTTAAGAATGAGACAATTGGACGTCGATTTAGCGCTCTGTGTAAAAACAGTAATTATTCGAAGCGCCCATATTTAGTCAATGTAACGCTCTTAACGTGATGATCGATCATTTAGTAAAAAAAAATTTTTAATATTCTTCTAAATACAAAGATTTAAAAAAGTTCTAATTTTCAAAAATATTTCACTGGGATTGCGACGACTAAATTGGCAGAATTAATATTTTACTGATATAAAAAACAGTATTATACGATACGTTATACATTTATTTTAGAACGAGTAAATAATAAATAAAAATATACATATAGGAGTTGTACGAATAGTATTTTTGCCAATAATTTCAGAAATCATTGATTTAATATTAAATCATTCGGAGGCGGTTGCAAGCAAAGTTTGATAGGATTCGTTCGAATTGGATTTTACAAATGATGTATATCGGCTGATATAAATTATCGATTTTCCTATTAGTTCCAATATGAAATTTCATTGAAATCCAATAGTAATATCGTAAAAAATGATCTTGCACAGGTCTCGGGCGCCGAGCAAAGCCATGGAGCGTTACGAACGTCTGGCACGTCTCGGCGAGGGTAGCTACGGCGTCGTCTTCCAGTGCAGGGATCGGCAAACTGGAAAACTGGTAGCT